CTGATAGGGCGGAGGGCATTTTATATTCAAACACAAACCCTTCAAAATCGCAGCTTAGGAAAATCATATGGGTGAAGTTTTTAAAGAAGTCAGTAAAGACTTGCAGATGGCAAGGTTTAATTCTCTTTGGATAGGACACATACAGTGTGAGCCAAGTTCCTCCATCACTCAATTAGATCCGACCTTGGTCCCTGCGCTCACTGCGCTGCAAGAAAGGTATTTGGCACCTAATAATACCACTTACCGTCCAAGTGACCTGCACGGTGGAGGAGGTGAGAATGATCGGCTTCTGGAGCTGGACCACCACTTCCCCGAGTTCCCGCTGTACTTGGCGGTGGTCTACGCCTTGCCGGGTGGGGCTGATATCTGGGAAATGAGCAAAATTCCCAAAATTCAGAGCCGCATTAACAGAACCAGCTATGTATTGGACTAGTTGGTGTATAACAGTATAGAATATCGTAAGGCTGATAACATATTTAGAGTCAATATAGAAAAAAAACTAATAATCTGAGATGACCAGCTAATATAATTTGCACATCATGAAACTCAGCGCCACTGCTGGTCCCATCACAGGGATGTGAGAATCATGGCTCTCTATGTACGGGTCCCATCACAGGGATGTGAGAATCATGGCTCTCTATGTACGGGTCCCATCACAGGGATGTGAGGGTCATGGCTCTCTATGTACGGGTCCCATCACAGGGATGTGAGAATCATGGCTCTCTATGTACTGGTCCCATCACAGGGATGTGAGGGTCATGGTTCTCTATGTACTGGTCCCATCACAGGGATGTGAGGGTCATGGATCTCTATGTACGGGTCCCATCACAGGGATGTGAGGGTCATGTCTCTCCATGTACGGGTCCCATCACAGGGATGTGAGGGTCATGTCTCTCCATGTACGGGTCCCATCAATGGATGTGAGGGTCATGGCTCTCCATGTACTGGTCCCATCAATGGATGCGAGGGTCATTATTCACTATGAACTGGTCCCGTCACAGTAGATGTCTCATGTTATTGAATGACTTACCCTGAGTGCGCACCGGCTCCGATATAGGGCTGGGGTCACTGAGACCGTACGAACTGACCGCTCGGATGATGAACAGGTAGATGGTGTTGGGGTTGAGACCATTCACTGTGTGTTTCTCCACCTTCACGTTATCCGCCACGGTCTGCCAGGTGCTGCCCGCTGATTGGCTGCAGAGGGATACAGAAGAGTGTAAAGCTGGCTCTTGGGGTATCTTTGGTAGACGCAGCAATGCACATTGCAAATACCCCCACAGCAACTCATATACGCACACTTTAAAGTTTTGACTAAAGAATGTTAACAGAATGGTTAGATAAAGAGCAGCAGATCAGCTAAAATTCTTACCTTTCCCAAAGAAAACTGCGACAAGTTCCCTTCAGTGCTGGTCACCTGACCTCTGCTAAAGATCAGCCCCCCTGAATTCTATTCCTGCGCTTCAGCAGAGGTCACATGACCTGCTGCCTCGGCAATCAAACAATATGACCAGCACAGAAGGGAACCAGGGACAGTGTTCTCTCCAGGCCTTGTGGTTTTTTGTTTAAATGGTCCTTTGCAAGACTATTAACACGCTTTACATCTATAGGTGTCTATAGGTGCACTTTAAAGGCCTGGCAGTAATGCTTAGTGATGGGCCGAACACCCCCGTGTTCGGTTCGTATTCGAACATTCGAACGGCCGAAAAGTTTGAATACGAACTCGAACTCAATGCAAGTAAATAGGAGGTCGAACGTTCGAAAATGAATGTCCCCTTTAAGAGGGCTTATACAGGCAGTCCCCGTGTTACAGACAATGCGTACTTACAAACCGGGTCCACAGTTCTCCTAAATGTACCGGCAGCTGCCGGTACATTTAGGAGAACTGTGGCTGCAGCTGTGGCTGCAGCGGGAAC